TAATATAATTTTTATAAAGATAGTAAATAAGTATTTTGTTGTAACTAATGATAATTTAAATTATATGTTAGATTTTTTATATTCAAAATGAGATGTTTATCCCGTATTGATTATATTTATCTATAGTTAGTTACATAATTTCAAAAATGAAATCTTAATAAGTTGTATTTACTCTCAATTTACTTGTGATATTGAATTTTAAATAATATGCATAAATAAACAGTACTTTTGCATAAAAAATGTTTTTAAGAGTTTTTGTCAAATACTTTATAATATAGTGTATATATGTATGCATATATATATAATACATATATAATGTAATAATTGTTATATAAAGTTTTTGTAATAGTTTTACAAACTATATTTGTGGTTATGAACATTCAATTATATAGAGGGAGGAGTTTTAGTTGCAATCGTGTTTTTTCTTATGAATTTAGGATAAAAAGGAGCGCAAACACGTATTTTAATTTGTTTTCATTTATAATAAATTAACTAGAAGGGTATTCGCACAATGCAGCGAGATACATATTGATTTTAATGTTTTATTTTATATTTTGGGTCTATCAATCTTATATGGTTTTGAGAAAAAAAATGTTTTTGTTTTTGAATGAAATATAGATTTGAAGATATTATAAAGTTTTTTAAAAAATAAACGATATTAGTATCAAATTAACTATTTTAGAATTCTTGTTTTTGTGTAACTTCTTTAATTTAATTTTTATTATAATTTAAATGAAGTTTAAAAAATGAATTAATTTATTTTTGGTTTAATAAAATAAATTTTCTAGATAATAATTAAGTATTTTGTTAGAACTCATTGATTATCTTAATTATATTTTAGTTTTTTATATTCAAAATGATGTTTATGTGCAATTGGTTACACAAATTCAAACATGAAGCTTTAATAAGATGTAGTCAACACATTATAAATATTGAATTTTAATTAATGTGCATTAATAAATAGTATTTTATACATAAAATAACATTCAAGATGAAAAATATATCATTTATAATGAATATATGATGAATATCTCTGACATTCATTTTTTTCTCAACATTCAACATGAATAATATATCATTCATAATGAATATCTCGGACATGTGGCCTATTAATTCACAACGAAACTTAGGTTTATAATTGAACTGACCCCTATATATACATGCATACAGATGTATATATATATGTATTAATGCATATAGTTATAGGACAAGTTCAATTAAAAATCATATATTTTGAGAACCATGAAACCAACTATAAACTATCTATTATTAATATCGTAATAAATATTAAAAATTAAAATATATTATTTAAACAAATATTATCCATGATTAGTTTCTATCATTTTTTATGAAAAATTGATTTTTAAAATATTTATCATTCATAAATAAATTTTTCTCTATGGTCATAATCACTTAATTGCAAGACTTGTGATTTTTCTTTTTCAAAATTAAATATTAATTATTACTCATTCAGATGTGGTATTCAACAATATATGATTAGAAAGGCTAAGTGGTGGGTCAATAAGCCATGTGGGCTTATGGGTGTATATAGGTTATGTTTTTACACTTTTACATTTAAATTTTGTAATTTTATAAATTTAGTTAAAACAGTTTCTTGGATTCACATATGTTCATGGTCAAAACGAAGATGTAAAACCCTTCTAAGTTCTATTGAAAAAGTTTTGTACTTTAATTTGATTCATATTTGGATAACATATTTTTAAAACTTTTATTTTGGTACCCAAGATGTAAAACTTTAAACATTTAAGTATCCGGCTAACCGGTTGAATCATTAACCAGTTACTATGTTGATATGGCGAATGATATGGTATCTGATTAATATTTCAGCAAATAATATTGAGTTGGATACCACATCACTCGTCACAGCAACATGATAACCGGTTAAGGCTTCAACCAGATATTTAAATGTTTAAAACTTTACATCTTAGATACCAAAATGAAAGTTTTAAAAATATATTACCCAAAATAAAAATCAAATTAAAGTACGAATTTTTTTCATACAATTTATTCTTTAAAAAATTATTGAAGATAGCTTTTTAACCGGTTAAATTGCAAGTGGTATGAAAGGGAAATTAAAAAAGAGTAATAAATTGATTACATAAATGACATTTTATTATTACTGATTTTTTATCCTTCTTGGAAGGCTAATTTTAATGCTAGATTGTTTTTTAGTAAAACGGCTTCACGCTAATTCCATGATCCCTCTCATACTATATCATTTCCATAAAAATGGGCCCACTTTGACTATCAATCAAGCAATCATCTCTACTGTTGGATTCGTGTAAAACGGAGCTTCGATTGACCAACTCATGGTGTGCATTTCGGAGCTCCTTCTGACGTCGGATCTCCATTACTTTCCGGTGCGAGTTCGAGTGCTTTGCCGACACATATGTCGGGCTGGCAGCGGGTCGGTATTCGGGTACTAACCGACCCGATTTATAACGGACTCCACATGCGTTGCATAGCGTCTTGGGGCCCATCGGACCCGTCCGCCACTGCGGTGTCTTATCGGAACCGCAATGCAGGCATCTCACGATCGAAGTTTCTGGAATCTCACGTCGCTTAAACGACGTCGGCTTCGGTTTGATGTCGGTATTGGTCGACGATGATTTGAGATGGAGGATTCGTGAGTTCCAATCACATGGAGCCATTCGTGATCGTTTGCTACGAGCTTTACCTGGAACAAAAACATCCGTTTGGAATATCTCCGAGTTTATTCTGGTAGCGACTACCGGTTTCAATCGGAACTCCGGCGTTGTGTTAGAGGATGACGTATCGGTGGCCGGAGCTTTGTTTGCGGCGGAAATGATTTGTAGATTTTGAAAATCGTCGGTTGAGAATGACTCCTGAGTGAAATTCGATAGCCATTCCAGTTCCGCCAAATCATCGTACTGTATATAATTCAAATCAAAATTCAGAAATCACAAATTCACAATCATCAATCCGAATCAATCAAATCGAAAATCAAAACAACATCATAAGATAATCCAGTGATAAACAATTACCGGTAAACAAATCTCAACACCGGAGAATTGCGATTCAGAAAACCTACGGGAGCTAATATTACCAGAAAACGGAGCTTCTCCACCGGAAACAGACGAATTACAGCTATCAACAGCAGTAACCGTGGAAGAATCAGTTGAACGTCCATTCACATTATCAAAGAAAGCATCATTCAACACAACATCGTCATTATTAGGAAAATCGACGAGTAAGTCATCAATTATGAACTGATTGTTGTTGTTGATGATGTCGGTGGGTTTCTGGTGTCCAAAGTAACATTCTCCGACGCCGAAGTAATCTCCGATGAAGTAATCCGGTTCCTCCATCGCCATTAACGTGCTTAGGTGAAAAGTTGCAGAGGGAGAGAGAGAGAGAGTGATTGCGTTTGAAGAAGACAGGCGGACAAAGGTGAAAGGAAGTGAGGGGGCTTTTTGAGGAGATGAGGGTGAAGGGGTATAAATGTAAATTTACAAAAAAGAAAGTGTAAAAATGAAAGCATCCATTAAATTAAATAAAATAATAATTTAAAATCATACATCACTTGCTACTTTTGTAAAGTTGTTCCCTCTTTTTTACACTTAAATTTTACTTCCTATTTATAATTATATAAATAAATAATTATAAGATAAAAAATTACATTTAAATAATACTATAAAACATATATTTTTACTTTCACAACGTTTTGCTGTAAAGTGTAAAAACTGGTCTCATAAAAACAAGCTGGTCTCACATTAACCCAACCCATGATATCAATGTTATTTTATAAAACATCATATGTATGTCACGTTTCGTATATCTATCAGTAAACACAAAATATTAAACACAGTATAAATAAGGGTTATTCAGATAAAAATGTTAATAGTAATAAAGTAAGAAGATAAAATTAAAATAATATTCATATGTGAATCATTATAAAACTTCATTTGAAAAATGCTTATTTTGAACTGATGTGAATAATTTGTAGTATTGGTTTACATATGCATCTTCAAATAAATCTTTCACTTTTTCCCAGTGATTCATATAAGAACGTTCCATGAACCTTTTGTTCTTACTTTATCACGATATTTAGCGTTCTTATTTGAACCTCCTACCAATATTGCGCTTTACATTGTCATGAATACGAAACAAAGACCTCCATGTCTTGAAGCGAAAAACTGGCCCCCGAGGCGGTATTCCCATCTTGGAGTTATGGGTTATGTCTGATGGACCGGCTTTGCCCCCCCAGATCAAACTCTGCTTTGTTCCACCACCGCAACACCTTATAATATAAATGACGCTCGTCGTTATTGTAACCTGATATTCTTACATTTTTGTCTGTTACAGTAAATGAATGTATACGCTCGGTTTAATTGGGTTCAAGAATGTTATACGAGTACCTTAACGACAGTCGTCTCGTTTGAAATAATTTGGCAATCGAACGTAAATTTTTGGAAAGAAAATAAAAAAGAAAAGAATAAGGAGAATTTATTAATATAAACAAGGGTAGTAATTGAAATAGATGGATGGTCAATTAAAGGTTAGCAAAAGAAAAGGGCAAAGCATCCACCAAATACACCCACCCCTCATGGCTCCCATTCTTCAAAAAACAGCAAGTTTTTTACTTTAATATTTACCATTTACACCCTCAACAATTCTAAACTTTACAAAAGTTCATAAAAAAAATGCAAAAAAAAAAAAAATCATGTTTTAAATTTTTAAATTTATATTATAAGTTGTTGCAAATTATTTGAAGCTCAAGGTGGTTTTTGGTTCAAATGAAATAGAGTGGGGTTGAAATTGAAAAATGTGCAAAGAATTGTAATATAAAGAGACTAGAATTAAGGAGATGTTTGGTTATAGGTATTAAGCAGTGATTAATGGGAATGAAAATAAAAAAAACTATTTGATTTTATATAATATAATGAACTCATTCCACCAAAAGTCTAATTTTAATTCCAGATTAAACTAGGGGGGGGGGGGGTTTGAAAATTCATTCACATTTTCATTTCTTGCCATTTTCATTTCTCTGATTGAACCAAACACCGTCAAATTTAATCATATTTGACTTTACGTTTTGGTTTACGGTAATTAGAATGGAATCAATCAAACGATTTCGGATATGTCGGTTTGGTTTGCATAATATAACTTCGAGATTGTAATAAAACAATAGTAAATGACCAAAATACCCCTTATGACAATTGCATATTTTATTGCTTATATTATGAATATTATATGATGTGGCGAGTGATGTGGTATCTGTTTAATGTTTCAGTAAATAATACTGAGTTGAATACCACATCACTCACCATATCAATATGGTAACCGGTTATTCAGGTACTTAAAGGTTTAAAACTATACATCTTATGTAACAAAATGAAAGTTTTGAAAACACGTTAACCAAAATAAGAATCAAGTTAAAGTACGTTATTTTTTCATGTAATTTGCTCATTTTTTTAATACTAGAAGGGCACTCGCGCAATGCAGCGAGATAAATCTCGATTTTAATGTTTAGTTTTTATTCTTTGTCTCCATCGATATAATACGATTTTATATGGTTTTGAGAAAACGATAATGTTTTTATTTTTGAATGAAATATAAATTTGAAAAATAAATAAATCGATATTGGTATCAAATTAACTATTTAATAGTTACCCTTTTTTTGGCGTAACTTATTAATTCAATTTTTTTATTATAATTTAATTTAGATTTAATAACAAATTAATTTATTTTTGGTTTAACAATATAATTTTTCATAAAGAAAATAATTAAACATTCTGTTACAACTTAATGATTATTTTAATTATATTTTAGATTTTCTATATTTAAAATAAATGTTTATCCCCTATTTAATTATGTTTATCTGCAATTAGTTACACAAATTTAAAAATGAAGTTTTAATAAGTTGTACTTATGCAAAGTTACTTKTAATCTTGAATTTTAAGTAATATGCATCAATAAACAATACTTCATGCATAAAAAATAATTTTTAAGAGTTTTTGTTAAATGTTTTATAATATTGTATACATATTTAAAAAAATTAATATCTAATTATTTTATTTTAATTATTAATATGACAATTATATATTTGAAGACAAACATAATAATATCTAAACAATAAATAAATGTAAATATCATAAAAATAAATCAATTATTATTTTGGGGACAAAGAATCGATCAATGGCAGGTTTTGTCTTCATGACGACTCCATTAGTGTAAATTTATGGTTTTGGTCCCTGTGATATCTCAAAAACTATGGTTCTGCCCCCTTAAACTTCTGTTATTGAATAAAATGATATGTGGTTTAGACTTTTTTACGGTTTTGATCCCCAAGGCCAAACGACCATCCATTTTGTCCGTTAGACTCTTGGGTGTTTCTGTCTTTGTACATTTTTCTCAATTTTAATGGTTTTTAGTTATTATTTTTGAACATTCATTTTCTACATGAAGATAAGAACAAACTTATACAATTTTATTAAATCAAATTGCATGAAAAAGTAACGTACTTTAACTTGATTAATGTTTTAGATAACATACTTTCAAAACTTTCATTTTGATATCTAAAAATGTAAAGTTTTAAACATTTACGTACCCGAGTAACTCATTGGAGCATTATTGTGTTACCATATTGATGTGACGAATGATGTGATATCTAGTTAATGTTTAAGCAAATAATATTGAGTTGATACCAAATCACTTGCCACATCAACATGGTAACCGGTTAATGTTTCAACCGGTTACCCATGGTACTTAAATATTTAAAACTTTACATCTTATGTACCAAAAAATAAGTTTTGAAAGTATGTTATCCAACATAAGAATTAAGTTAAAGTACGTTACTTTTTCAAAAACATCTTCCATAGAGAATTGAAAGGACAAATTCTCAGAATAAAGATCCAGATTTTCCAAGAACAGGTGGAAACCCACCTCGATTCCATTGAAGGGTTTTATCTGAGGTCAATCAAAGAATATCTTAGAAAATTGAAGAACGGAAGGCTTTCTTTAATTGTTGTTTCGGCCAGTTACGAGTTTTCATTGCTTCAATCAAAATTGTGTTTTGTTGCTTCGATCCCATGAACCGTCATCTACAACAGTGTTATATGTCATAGTTTGTACACGAAACATTTCTTCATTCGTAAGTCTAGGGGTTGATTTAAGTTTCATTTTACGATCAGTAATGTTCTTGAAGATTTGGATGAAGATGATGAAGAATCAAGAAAGATAGAAAGAATAATAATTAAAAATTCTTTAAATACAAAAAATATCATTTTTTCGAGTTTAACGGATTTTGTTGACGGACACTAGGACAAAGGGCCAAACTGGAAAAAAAATTCAAAACCCCAGATGTTCTATATAATGAATAAAGTTTAAGGACCAACTTTATAAAATAAAACAATATCACACCCACCAAATCTATAATGTACTCTTATTTTTAAGAAGATTTCATTGGGAAATTGGAATAGAAGTGGATAAATAAATCATAGAGCAAACTACAAATTTAGTCAATGTGGTTAAGGATGATGATTTTCCGTTAAAACGGGTCCCGGGGCCGGAGGCTATTACTCAAACCGGGATTGGGGTCGGGGGCTGTTACTCAAACCGGGATTGGGGTCGGGGGCTGTTACTCAAACCGAGGTTGGGCCTGGGCCGGGGATCCCCGATAAACTCAAACTAACGGATATTTTTCACGGGGTTTGACAGGGGGACAAGATGTTAATTCCGTACCCACCGGGGCGGGGGCCAGGGCCGGGGATTACAAAATCCGCCTAATCTCCGCCCCGTTGCCATGCCTACATGTGGTTTACAAAAAGTAGTATTTTCCGTCTTAACAGTTCTAGAACTACAAGATGGTCATAAATGGTTACAAAAATGTTTGAAATTTATTTATTGCACTAACGACTGTTAAAAAGTTCCGTTAAATATTGGTCCATTTTAGTGATTTTTTTCCTGTCTTTTACCAAATCAAAATCGATTTTATGATTTAGTCTTTATGGTTTTTGATTGAGTGAAAGACAAAAAGTCAAAAAGCTTGAGAAAATAACAAAAATATCTCTCATTATCAAAAGTTTTTTTTATCGGCAGTTACAAAGAGATACCAAGTTCAGACCGTTTTACAAACCACAATGGTCATCTTGTATTTTTTAAAACTAAAAGGATGAAAAGTGTTACTTTTTAGAAATTACAGGTACTAATTTTGTAGTTTAATATATATATATATATGTATGTATATATATAGTGTATATATATATATACACACACATACTTACCACCACTATCATGCATGTTATTACACTCGGGTGAGCCACGTTGCAGCACGACGCTTCCAGCTCCCACTTCGTTGGCATTTTAATTTTATTCTAACTTCATATTTTTTTTAATTTCAGATTAATTAAA